AGAGTCTGAGCTTGAATGAAGTTGACGCATTTATCCTGAAGGCCGATAATTTGGATGTAGTGTTACCTCTTGACTTGGAGAAGAGTTGATTGTCGAATGCCACAAGATGGTACGTACACAATGGTACGTACACAATGCTCTAAAACACAATACTTATTTTGACAGAGGGCCCGCTATCCAGGGTTTTGAAGTATCTTGGGACTTATACATACTGTCAGCTAATGAAGGGAATACAACAGGAGCAGCTCACCCATGGAACATATGGCTGTATCAGAAACCGAAAACTCATAGTCTGTTGACAGTGGCAATTGGTTGCACTACGTTTCGGTAGTGGGAGAACACTTCGTGGCAGGCGGCAGCCGTGCCGAATCAACGGGCGACTAAGACCAGTGGAGTAGTAATGCATCAGGTTTTGACGAACCGCAGGGTACCAGATGCGATCCTATCGGAGCAGAGGCCATGCCTTGAATGCGAAGAATTCAAGAATTGCTTGCAGCGGTCCGGTATCAAGCGACTAAACCAGCATCCTACTACCCGCAGCTAAATTGCCTAATAAAGCGCAACAGCTGAACGGCTGTCGGTAAAAGGAGCGTATTACGAAGTGAACCTGTTGAGTATGTTAGTACACCATGTGTCGATCCAGTCAACAACAAGCAAGTCCCCATTCATGTTGACGTGCGTTTGACATTCATATACCCTAGTCGATCAAATAACCGGATTGTGGCCGGTTACGCGCCTGTCTCCGGAAGAACTAAGGATGGAAAAAGTGTAAGAAAACGATAGCTTTTCAGAAATGGATCAAATGAAGGACGATAGGTAGAGAGGCTCAACTCCTAGGCGTGAATGTTAGATGGAAATCTCACCAGAATCCTGGAATGAGTGGACCAGGATCATGAAAGTTGGACAGCTGGTGGTAAGATCTATTGTCGATATTGGCCGTCGAAAGGATTTTCACACGAATCAAGACGGTCCATAATCAGGGTGAGTAAATAGGAGTTGGTTCTGTAACGACTCCCCAGGGAGAGTATCAAATGAACAGGCTGCTGCAGTCAACCTGGGTGAGGCGAGTTGGTCATCTAAGGAGCGAGGTTTGTAGTGGTGTACATTACTCATTAAATGAAAGTAATACCTTTCCGCCTCTCAAGGCCTTACTGTTGCCTCTAATTGGTGGTTAGATTTGGGATTATTGGGCTGTTCGAGTGTATTCATTCACTGAGGGGGCGAGATGGCTCAGTGGTTAGAGTGCGAATTCACTGACCGAAAGGTCCGTGGTTCGAACCCTACAGCTGAATCTCGACTTCCCCTGCCTTGGCTTGGACAACCTAGCAATATCTCAGTCCTCGTGCTTCCTTCGGATAGCATGGCAGTTAGGCACCGAAAAGGTGCTACAGCTGAGCGACTTTTCATTCACTCACTGACGTCAGCTGTTCAATCGAATCCCAGGAAATCTCGGGCATACGCCTGAGAACACAAATTCCTTTTTCGCTTCGGTTGGGGATTACTTGCAGCCGCTCTGTTCTTATTTCGAGCTAAATTATTCCGCATCCGAAGGCTTCTTGTCCATTAACGGTAGCTTTAAGCTTCTTTAAGCTCCCCTTTATCATCAAGCCAAGCCAGCTCACGACCACATACAACTGGTCATGAATTGTGTTCGCTTTTGTCTTTTTTGTATACTGCCAAGGGTTTGCTCTGTTCAGCCTTTGACATTGGTAATTCATTTACACTGGACTTTGTATTCCTTTATTAAGTACGGCCTTATGACTGGAAGTGGTACTCCGGACCATTGGGTTAATCCGTTATTATTTCTTCTGGGTTATGTGATTCGGTTGGATCTACTCCAAATTAGTTACTTCATTGAACTCTGCAAAGAACCATATCTAAAGCTGATGATGGGTCAGATAATCCTTCATACAACCATCTGTCAGAGAAATCATATTCCATTATAAGCTTAGGCGATCATTATTTTTAATGTTCACATCACTTCTACGTTCCTTCTGAACACGGTCGACAATCATAGGAACCGTGGATAACCATGTTTAAAATCAGTTGTTTGACCTATAGGGAGTACCGCGCTGATTATCCAATCCAGAGTTGTGAACACTGTCCAAATGATGTGTTCAAAACGTGAGGAAACCCAAATGCCCATTAGTGTTGTGCTTAGTTTCGAAGGGTTCAGATCGTGGTTGGTGTCCGCATTGTGGTCAAATGCACCCATTGGTCTAGTTTGAACAGGCCGAACATGAGGGTGCTTATGTATACTTCATTTTTCTCTTTCAATACCAAAAATGACGCTAATGAAATAGCGTGCCAATCGCTCAATCCAAATTCAAAAATTAAGGTGGATAATCTATGGGTGCTTGGGTCTAGCCTAGCAGAACAGTGCATCACGGAATAGCTGTTTTGAAAAAGCAATGCGGCTAATCGATCCAACAGTCACTTGAATTGATCGGTAACATTTAATGGAACACTTTTTTGAATGCACTCTAAACTCGTACATTTTAGTGTAAAACGTATGCTGTAAAACGTATGTACTGCTTGGCGTATGGTGGCAAGTTTTGTTCATATTTTACCGACATCATGTGTCGTTATCATGATTGCACTTTTTTGATTCTGTTGAGTGCCCGCTTGCTGCTCTCCATGGTTGTTGTCTAACATGTGAACTGTTGGTCATGCTGCTTTTTAGCCCCCTTTTTGTTAGGTAGGCTTCAATCAACCCATAACGAACAAAACTAGCGTTCGGTTTTGCGCAGTGAACAATAAACTTTCACGATTCGTGTTTGAGAATTCGGAACGTCTTAACCAAACGGTGTTTGGAAGAAGAGTAAAAAGAACGTTCGTCGGAGTCTAATGTCTTATTTCCTTTGGTGGTAGATTAGTTCTTAGCACCGTCCTCTGTTATCAAGTCGCTCCAAACCTATCAGTTCCACAGGCTTCAGCGCGATTATAAATGATATTTCGGCTTTTCTGTTTGCTATGAATGTTCGTTTCAAATTGACCCCTTGTCATTCTCTCTTTCTTTGAGGACCAACGTGAGATGACATCAATGTTAGGACACTGAAACTTCCTTCTGGTGCTTCAGTCTAGACTTTTTTCGTCCCAATCCGACTCCTGCCTCCGATTGACCCCTTGCTTGGTTGATTCATTCCTGTCTACTGCTTGTAACGAATATCTCTTTATCAGAATAGCGAACTTCATTTCAGCCGATTTCAGGGCGTAATCCGTTGGATATCCCTTGGTTGTTTACCGACGAAATCTTTGCGTCCTTCGTGCGTGACTCAACCATTCGAGTGTTATACAGTGAACTGAAGATAGACTTGACCGGAAAACAAGACACGGTTTCCAAACTATTGTGAGTCAGCTGGCTTTTTTACCGTTACACGTCTGGCTTGACGGAGTTGAGTGAGCAGGAGTTTACAACTCGACGTTTGTTTGTAGGTCGGTTGTGTACCAAAGTTCACTCACGAAGACAAACGAAACATGTTAATCTGTGCTTAGAGAACGCTTTGTCCGTCAACTACAACTCAAATGTTTATGTGAAGTACAAAACCGACCGGACAAATGTTTTTGTTGAACCTATTCGACACTTCATTTTCCTCATCAGCCTGGCGCTTGAAAGTGTGATTGGACTCAAGTATGATTGGTCCTACAGGCCATGTAATGTAAGAGATGCACCGTACCAACCAGCCAAAACAAAAGAACACACCTTCGTAAGAAAATTGGAGTTGAAGCCCCCTAACCTCCCACTTCGCCTTCGGATTATTTGAAGATAAAAGATAATCGTTCAGCTGTGACGTCCTTTCAGTGCCTAGCTGCTGTGCCACCCGATGGGAGGGGGGGTACTGCCAGGTTGCCCATGCCTAGACGAAAGAAGTCGGAATGCAGAGCCTGGGTTCTAACCACTGAGCCATCTCGTTACACAAAGGAATTATTTGTTGGTGAGCTGGTGGTTTGGTAGATGACCCTTCGATGTTTTGTGCTATTATGCTTGGAGGCCAGCCTAAGTTCGGAAAATTTGTAGTTCCTCAAAACGTAGCAGAATACGGGTAAGGCTTTGAAACGCCTGTACTACTAACGGTGTGATTCGCCTGACATGATATACTTGTATTCACCTGGTATTTCACCTAATTGTAAAAACTTTTGAAAACTATTGCCCACAGTGATCAGTGCGTTAAGATTATAACATCCTGCATCACTGTTTTTATCTATTAATTTTCTGTTTAAGTCCCACATTGCACCCAAACTTCTCTTTCCTATGCAAAGTTATCGCAGATCACTTGGAATTAATGTCCATTGTTCAGGCAGTGTAGCATCGGTGTTGGACACCGATGTCATGCTGTCGATGATGATGACGACGAGGTCCATTGTGGACATCATTCTCGTTTAAACTGTTACTTGTCATCCGACTACGTAACTGGTTTGCGGGAATCTCTTTGATAAGCCAAAACAGACAGGACGGGTGCCGACTGGTATTTTGGGTATCAGTTTGCTTGGTTTGCTTGTCTAATACCTGGATAGTATCCAAGGCTAATGGCTTCGTCACCAATAGGGGTTACCTAACTTTTCACGATGAGCGCCTTGATTTTTTTTCACGATTATTTGAGTATTCACGGTAGGTCACCAAGAGCGTAGCACCATCGATGCTAATTGTGGTAGCGGTTTTGTCACGTAAGGTGCCTGTTGTAAAAAAAATACAATTTTTGTTCTTTTTAAGGTAGAACGGCGAGTGGTCGTAGCTTCGAATCTCCTTCAAGGGTATTTATCTCGTCTAGTTTATCCTGTGTACTTGGATCCCTGTTTTCTCGCTTGTATACCAGATCAGTATTTTGGCATTCCGTGCTACAGTGTGCAATCAGTGGATAAGTACTCACTTCTGAAAACCAAACATTTGTTTTTAACCACCTGAACTGAGTTGGTGGATAGAAACAACTGACCCTCATTAAACACTCGTATAGATTAAAAAACTTACACCATCTTAATTTTTCTTCCGTCTCCCACTTCAGCTGGTCGGTTTGGTGGTTCTAGGGTTTTCCGTATACGTCTCTCAAGAACCTGAGGCACAAGATATCATACGGGCGTCCGGACACTATGTGGCTGTTCAGATCGCTCTCTACGCTCTCATGGGAGTCGGCGGTATCACTCTAATCACTGCCCTTTTCGGATGCTGTGGAGCCTATCACGAATCACAGTGCCTGCTCGGTGCATACTTCATAATACTGTTGGTAATATTCACCTCTCAAGTTACCGGAGCTACTCTTGGCTATGTGTTCCGGGAGGAGGTGAGTCGGTCTCCATCAGAATACGTTTCTTACCTGTCTCTCCTCGTATGCAGTACAACTGCGCGCCAGTCAGACAGTGATTTTCCCTACTTGATTATTACGGAAGACTCATTTGAATCTCAGCCTAATCTCTCGTTGTGGTATTCTTCAACTACAACCCTATAAAGGAAGTGTTCTGAACATACAATGTACTGCGATATCTCAAGTGTCGTCTCAACCTGAACATGAGGTGGTCTTTGTGGAGCACATTCAGTTGAAGAATATCCTAAGAGATTCAGCTAGAATTCAGTCGAGTCGAGTCGGTTAAAACGAAATTGGCGTGCAAATGGGTGTATTTCGCGAAGTTTGTACGATTTCGGTTCAAGTAGAGCCTGAGGTTGATGAAAACTCCGCCTGCCTGTTGATGGGTGAGACCGGCGATGAACCGTCAAAGAGCTTTCAGCAGCCTCATGAGAGTGTGTTCAATCCGGAAAAGAACACTGCCTGCACACCAGATGCGCGTTTGTTGTCGAACCTCGTTTTGTTGAACATTCTCCTCAAATGTTTTGAAAGATCTCCATTTCTGGTTTATAGCATCACTTTGTATGCTTAGCACCCTTGTTCGTTCCGCGCGCGACTCTATCCAGTTCAATCCACTTTCTCATCAGCTACCATGGATCAATAATCCACCTGTTTTCTACCTGCTGGTTTATCCGGTAATTTCTCAAAATGGTAACGATGTAGATTGATATGCTCTCAGCAGAGAGATTCAGCCAGAGATTCTTTCATTGTTCAGAGTTGTGAACCTTTCCACCAGTGGGTAATTTGTCCATGCTCTTTTAAGACTGAATGAAGACTGATCTGGTCTGACCAGTCCATTTTGCCTAGATTGTTCAGACTTGTATGCATAAACTTCATGGTTCAGCAGATTCCCTTTTGGTTGGTCAACTGTTTACGCGGCCGTCACTTCCACGCACATACGCGTGTGTATGATCGATCGACCATTTGGCTACACCTGGTTACTGACTTGATCGTTCTCGTATTGTTGCGTTGGTTCTGCACCCAATAAGACTTTCTGTCTATAGGGTTGGTTTGTCTGTTTGTGTGACGGAGTCCTGTCGAAGTTATCCCTCAGCAGGGTTAACCAGCTGCGGGTAATTAAGTTGGGCATAAACTTTCGGAGCGATGCTTTGGCTGCACGTCAAGTGGCCACATGCAGTGCACAAATGCCCGGAATAAGTAACGTCCAAAGCGTTGCTGCCAGGTGGCCATCTTTCGGTACTTTTTATTCTGTGTTACACAACGTTGCTTGATGTGTTATCCTGTGTTATCCTAGTTCACATTTCGTGCCAAATAGAAACAGACTACTGCGTTTCAGTAGTTTTCATCTCAGCATGTGTAAATGAATGTCTAACTTCAAAGTTCCTTTCGGAAACTCTTCACCAGTTTGAAGTTCTGTCATCGCCTGATTGGTTTAGCATATATTTACCTTCATTTACTTCTATGCGGTTTCAATACTTCTCAATTTTCTCTTGTGATTATTTCATATCATGAACACAGTATCGATCCGTCTGGTCTTGACGTTTCCTCCGGTATTACCGTACTTCGGTCATGACACATCAACCTAACGGTGTCCTAGTTTTACCAGAGTGCAAGCGTAACGAGTAGTTGGCTTTCCAATACGGTTGTGCAGCGGGACCTGACATCCAGATAAAGCCAAATTACTCATGTCTGCACCTGCATATTTTCAGTGTCATTTGACAATGTATCCGTAAGACTTGGCCATCGGTAATGCTATTTCTAAGGTATAGTGAACCCGGATGGTTTCCTCTATGCTAAAGGACGATTCCTGTTGTGAGATTTCGGCACCACAAAATGGAAACCTAGCAGAACATGACCTCGGACTTGACGCTGCAGATTTCCGCCAACGAAGAACATATTCTTGCGGAGCTTAGATATTTCAGCTTTCTTATATTAGTGGGAGAAATGATGCACACCATTCATATGGAACTGTTAATAAATCTTGGTAGTTCCTGAGAAATTGATGTAACTGCAGTCTCATCTGTTGATAACTCAATTCGTTCAAACAAACAACCCCTCCACTTCCCCTGTCTAGACTTGGGCAACCTGGCAGTATCCCAACCCTCGTGCTCCCTTTGGATGGCACGGCAGCTAGGCACCGAAAGAGCGCTACAGCTGAACGATTTTTCCACTTTGAATCAAGATCAGATAACACACGTCACCCGGTCTACAATAAATCTGGACAGAACTTACGTGTAAGAGAGTTCGGGTTGAAAGTATTCATGAGACAGTAAAATATTTTTGGAACACTCTGCTTAACACGGAGCTGTTACATGGATCAATCCCGGGGTGGGAATGGGTACTCGACGAGCAGTAAAACCTGCTTAGTTCGGTGCTTTACCTTGCAGGCAATTTTAAAGTTTTTTTTTCGAGCGATGCAGTTTCCGACTTACTCTGTTCAGCGGCTAAGAATGTGGATGTTACCGTCAGTCAGGTACATTAACTGCAAGTTTCTGGTACAAAAATTGTTCAAGCCCATGATTGTCCTCAAGTATGTAGATAACGTACTGCATCTCACCCATGACCACCAGATGATAGTCGTGTTTTTGTCGTCCTACAGGAGAAACGAAACACGCCAATACCCATCTAAAAAAGCGATCGCTTCGTCGACTTTGCTATAGCAGCCTCCGCTTGATCACGATCAACAGCTCAGCTTAGAATAGTACCTTGAAACCATGTCTAAATGGTGTCCTTCATGTTAGTGATAACTTGACCTGTATCTAGTCTGACAGTCGCCTTTTCAACTCCATGGTTGAGATTGGCCATCTGATTAACCGCACAGTCTCGGCGGGGTCGTTTGTGAGTGTGCTTATTAACGGTGATGAAATAGGATTGGTGGAGGTAGATGAATGTAGGGGATCGGTCTGCGGCTTGTGTCCCCAGCTGTTTTCAGGATCCCCGAAATTTTGCTGTGCTGTGGTCACTTTACTGGTCTTAACGGTGGTAGCGTAGTGCCGTTCATTTGTAGCTCACCGAATGGGCACGCAGATTAACGCATTCTTTTGGAGTACGAACTTCCAAGTGATGTGTATATGCACGGATAATGCTTACTCTCTCTCGATCTACGAAACTGTTCGTTTTGTCGATTTGCTATTGCGTTCGACATGTTCCGAAACGTGTTCTACCCGCCTGGTGCTAGTCATATGTTGGTCAATATGTAAAAAAGTAATTAGCACGGGATTTTCATCTGATTAACACCTCTCACCCGTATTTCCACAGCTTTACCAAAATTAGTGACAAATGCGCTTCTGTCTAATCGAATGGCATACTGTCTCCTTTTACTGTCATTCTTAAATAAGTACAACAAAGCTTCCTGTGGAGAATCGTCGTTTGGTTTGGTTGCCACATTTTCTCAGTTCAATAGAACTAAAAACACTTCATTCCTAGTGTACGGTGTCGTAGACTCTGCACGAGGTATGTACAGTCGAAAAAAAGGTTTTGGTTTCGGCCAGTAGAGCGCATGGTGATCGTAAGTGTCTACCGATCTCATACGATTGTGCGTATTCGTGGGCGCACTTTGTTGAATTGCTAATGAGGTTTTGTTGCTGATTTCCGATGGGTTGACTGCTACCAGGAGATATATTACACACTTGTTGTTGTTGTAATTATAGGATAATCCCTTTCTAGCCATGGTTTCTCTACGCAGCCGGCGTATATATTCACCTGCTTTTTATAATTGGTGAAGAAAAGCCCAAACTGTATAGGTAGATTGGTACCACGCGAGTGTATCAGAGTGCATTTGAGTAAACTTATCTGCCTTGTCGCGCGGTGAGATAAAATCTTTGGTGTCCTTCGGGTAACAATAACTCGGTTTATTAACCGCAAGATTTCCATTCATCACTTTGTCACAGCCGAGAATGGGCCACTGTTTTCATCATGATGGGGCAGATGCCCTTACAGCGTCCGGTTTTTTTCAATAACAAGCTTTCGATTTCTTCTTTCTGGGCCCAAGGAACCGGCCAGTGTCCCGAATTCCCAGTTTTTTCCAGACAGCAGCGTACTGACAAGATGCCATAGTTGAAGTACTTGTCCTTCTTGAATGTTTGGACTATTTGAAGGTCACCAAGGATGACCTCGAACACGAACCCTCATGTGGTATGAATCTATTCCTGTCAGTTCATATTTTCCTTTCTGGGTTTCTGTTATCCAGGAGTAGCTCCGATCTCACGCATCCTGGTGGCTACGTCTCTTCCATACACACAGAATAAGTTCTATCCGAAATGTCCGATTCTCTTCCTTCAAAGCATCACACGCAGATTGATCAGTTTTAGGTTGTGCAAGGGAATATTTAGCCGTCCGAGTGACCTTGTTCGCCATATGATCCAGGTTGGGATTCAAATTCACTCAATGTATCTCACATTGTGACCATTTCTACGGTTCCTTTTTATCGTGGCTTGTTCCGGTACCTGCCATTTTGCGATTCAGGTCATATTAACTCCAGATATTTCGTTTTAAGTGTAGCTGGTACAATTGCCTCTAGAACGTAAACCGATCACGGAAAACAGTCCAATAGTCGTGAGTGATGGGTCGACGTTCCTTCTTTCAGTGCGCCACTATGGCCAACCGTACACCGTGCTTGGTAGAAGTATCCAGACGATGGCATCACTGTGTTATAATATGCGGAAACTTTCTATGAGGCCTTCCATACAAGGATTGACCTCTTATAAGACACTTCCATCATTCAGAAATGTACTACCATTGTAAGGGTTGAGATTATTCCATTGTAAGTTAATATGTTTGGTAGACTATATTTCCACATATATCGCCCGAATTAGTATCACGCAATTCAGCAGCTTTTATAATTTGATCTTCATCTGGGACTGGAGTCTCCACAGTTTTCCAGTGTCGATGAACGACTGGATCTCCCGCTCAGCATTGTGCTGAGTGTCATTTTAAAGTTGTGAAGCAAAGGAAGCCCGCTCATTTGTAACCGTCGGCATCTCCAACTCCTTGCATGTGGACTGAATAATACTAAATTAGCATATGAATTTCGTCACCATATTGTCAGCTTTCCCACTTGGTGACCTTATTCAATCCCGCCACCTGCGCCGGTTTGATGATTGGTTGGCATGCTCAAACTCACTTCGTTCTGTTTGACTTAGCGCGAAAACTCATTAACGGGCCCGAGCCCCACCGTTGCGTTTTTGTTCGAAGTTGGGGTAGTTGACATCCAGTTCATCAGGGGTTAGAGCACTCACTGACATGTCGATTCCAGTTGAACATGCACCCTCATGCATCCTCCTGTCTTTCCATCAGTATGTTTTTTCTATTCGGCAGATTATTTGTCCCCGCACTTTCACTACCTGGTGGTAGTTGATGAGTCACGACACGTAATTATGAGCCGGTTCACAGTCGCTGAACCCAGAAGAGCCACGTTAAATAACACACTTCAGCTGAAACGCGCATACCTGTGTACATGAATGGACTTACATCACTTAGCCCCATGACTTGACCATATATTAGTGCTTGAGACATCCCAAACCTTGGTGAAGATCAGCCCATTCAGTCACTTTATTCCTCAACAGAAATTTCATCTTGTTAGCGAACCCAATTTGTGCTAAAAAGCTGAAAAGCACTGTACAACTGTTTTATCTTTATGAAGATTCATTAGCAATCCGCCTCTCATGACACTGCAGAGTTTCGGACCCGCAACTTTCCAAATTCGTTCACGAGCCGCTGATCAGCAGTGTAATTGAATCACGGAATCTGCATCATGTTGTCCGTGTTGACTGTCTCCTCGTGTGCTGGCTTCCTACTTGGAAGTTCCGCTCACGCAGATTTTCTTCCATCTGAGCTACTTACAGTTCTTCGCTAGTGGGGTGATTCGGCTGGCTTGTTTTCTAGCATAGCAGCGCGTCGCGTATCAAGGCTTGTCATACCTGCTTGGATCTCCGTTCTTCATCTCCTGTCGTTTGCCAGATCCTCCCATAATCTACACTGGAATCTGTAGTTTTTAAGCTTGTCTGAAGGCTGTCCCAATGACAGAATTTCGGATATCCCCGATTTCGAACCCTTTCTCACCTGGTCCTAGACGAGTTGTTTGGCCTCCTTTCGTTTTAGGTGGTCTAAATCAGGGAAGCTGATTTCGTAACAGACAGCATTCAACTTCAGCAGCATTCTCCCTCCGGAGGACGTATTTCGTACAACCAAGTGACGGATAGAAACCAGCTTGGAGAAGTCAAGTAGTGACTTGGCAGTGAATTATGAAAGTCATTACCAGCAAACACAGCTGCACTGTTTATTAACGTCCCCTTAGATGGGAATCTCGAGGCGAAACATATGAATTTTAGAGACTAACAAAAATGGCCCCGTCGTGCACTCGGCTGTGCGCATGCATCCAAGTGGTTGTATTCAATGTATATTTTTCTCCCGATCTCATCGGTGAAAAGCCTACTGAAAAGTCCTGCATTCAAGCACCGGTTATATCGGCTGCAACTTCCAATCCATAGCTATCTACACCTACCTCCCCGCATCATCGGCGAACAAAACCGTGTTAGTTACAACCACTGTGCGTCGTGTGCGTCGTTTTTTCCAGCTGAAGATGGTTCTGATGATGACTTCAAAGTAATTCGGGTTTGGGGGCTCTGTCAATGAATTTAATCCGAAAAATTTTGCCCAGACAATGTAAGCGAAAACGGTTAAGAAGCCGAACATACCGTCCATATAGCATTTAGGTATATTTGCCTTATAGCAGTGATGACAGCAACAGTAGCCAGTTACATTGCAGTTTTGATGTCAGTGAGCAAGTGGTTGTCGCTCCAGATGCGTTTATCAAGGCGACAAAATGTGGTACGGCTATTCCTCTGTCAACTGTCGAGTCTATGGATAGCAGAATATGTGGCGTTTTGCGTTGAATCCACGGTACGGGCTGGTAAAAGACATACGTTTTTAGAGATATTCATGTTTATGCCAAAGGAGACGCCACTGGACCGAATGCCGTATGTAGCCAACGTCTGTTTCAAAATGCGAAATTAAGGCAGTCACACAGATACCGGACTCGCTTAGCGGTGTTTTGGTTAGGAGACGCTTCGAATCCAACAGATAAAGATCCAATCAGTATTGGATTGCTATACTAACTTTGCAATGGAAAAACACCTCTGTGGGAATGGTAGCTGCATGGTGGCTGAAAAAGATCAGGGCACGAATGCAGCCTTGCTTAACTCTGGTATCGACTAAGCAATCGTTATAGGTAGTTGTGCAAGTCGTCTTTTATGCCAGTGTGGAAGGCTTTGATGTATTCAACAAACTTGTCTCGATATCCGAGCTTGTGTAAAGTGATGCAACTGAGTGATGACTGAGTCCATAGGGGGACTGGTTCCATTCGCAATATATTTTGTATTTGTATGACTGTAAAATAGGGTCAGTCGTACCTCGATCGCTTCAACTCCGTACAGCTCTTCAGGAACATTTCCCTCCAGAATTCTAGCCACTATCCAAAGCCGTTATCTCACTCCCTGCGGATAAGGGGCTGCTTTCGGGGTGACTGTTCTTTGTATATGGAATTCCTTTCTTTTTCTACGGAAGATTTATTGTTGCTCCTCGAAATCTTGGAAGCCTTTCAGTCCCACTGCTCCACCTTTTTGCAGTTGCTCCATGGCTCTCGGCAGTTCTAGGCTGTAGCAAGTCAACCAAGTTGGCCCCCAGCGTATATTGTGGTTGGTCGGCTGTACAGTTCGAAGCAACGCGTCATGGCCAGATGAGTAGTCCCGGGATTTGATCGGCCTTATCAAGTTTTTTCACTAGTTTGTTTGTCTTCTGCCGCTGAAAATAATGGACTTTCGGTCCGTAGATTTCCATTCCAGCAGTGAATTCTTCGTGATAACGGCGGTCCACGTACGACCAGAACTCTTCATTCAGCTGACCATTCATTTTTTTAGTCTTTGAAGGGGTTTTTTTAGGATATTGCTCTTAGTGCTTTTGAGTTGTCTTTGGAATGTTATCACGAACACCAAATTCCTCCCTTGAAACAGGAAGTCATACTCATCAAACCATTCTCGTACTGTAGTTTCGCATATTCGTGTCGCATAGAACAGTACAATTTCGCATCGCAGCATGGTCTCTCGCAGCACGATGATTCGCTGCTCTCCGTCGGACTGCTCCTCATTGCCCTTTCTAGCGTGCTTAAGTCTTAAGGGACCTGAGCTCAGGCCGCTCTTGCCCGCGAGATCTTTACAGTACTGTAGCCTAGACANATATATATATATATAGCGATTGCTGCTAGTCTATGGACCCAGAAATCACCACCGCGTGCGTTATGATTTGCATGGTCTGGCCGTTGGCTACCTGAATCGTTTTCAGGTTCTTGCCAGATGCCACAGTCTGATCTATGCTTTTCTTGCGTGTTCGCTGTGTTGAGTTTCACGATCGATCGATTTCTCCTCATCCAAAGAAATCACTAAAAGATTATCATCATCACATCGCGTTTTAAATTTACCAACGACTCTAATGCCTGATTATCAGATTCTTTTCACATATTGAAATGGGAATGTACGGAACTGGATTGAAAATTTTTAGGAGCGTTGTGGCAATGCCAATTATCTCATTTTAACGGCATCTTCATATGAATGATTGCTTCCCACAACGGTCACAGCGAGTCTCGATTGGTTACCCCAAACATCATGGACTGGGAACAAGGTAGTTCGAAGAGCGCTCGAATCGCCATTCCTGTATTTTGTCTAATACGTTGTGCGATTAGTCACCGTAGCAGATGAATACAAAGTAGTGAGCTTCTGCAAGTTGGAGCAATAATACATTCTGGACAGTGGTGTTGACAAAGCAACGATGTTTATCTCTGACAACACTGGCGGCCTCAGATATTTCCTGTCGACAGCAAACGCCACCGAGGTTTACCTCGTTCACTAATCACTTGTGAAACAATAAGAAGTACCCTGAACAGGTATGATGGGCGCTTACGTTCTGATGGAACGCCGACCAATTAGACTGTCAATGTTTTGTCAAATTGCCTTTGAACCGTATCAGCACAACTACGGTTTATCAGCAATACCATTGTGTAACTGATCTTCTAGTTGAATGAAACCGAATGTTTTGCAGCTCCAGCATCCCACTGGGAACAATACCCTGGTGACAGCAGCCCCATTTTATCGTTCTCCTGTCATGCTGGTGCTTTATTGCACTTTTGAGCTATTATCTGAGGTACGTTATTTTGAAACAAACCGATAGTGTTAATTTTGTTTATGTACACAAACACCCTTTGTATTTCGAGGAAAAGACACTAGGTACTTGTTTGTTCCAGCAGAAAGTGAAGATTTTGTTTTCTGAACGGAATACCTTCTTGCATAACCCATTGGTCAAACCACGCGTACCTAAAATTGTTGCAAACCCGGAAAGCGGTAAAATCCATTCGGTTTCGTAACCGGTCCATTGGAATCTGTTCTTTGTTGTAGCTATTAGTGGGGTTTACTTCAAATTCCTACTTAAACGCATTGTCTCTAACCTGTATGTAAGCCTACAATTCTTACGCTTGGTTATATTTACTCTTAACTAAGAATGCGGACAACGTAGTCGAGGTTCGTTCGATTTAGCTTTTCGAAAACACTTTATGTAACTTAACAGGTCCGTGACTGGTCTGTATCGCCCCACATATTTGTTATCAGGATACTGAAGTTATTTGTGAATGAACTAATGTTCACTGTCCTTGTTCCACCTTACTGCGCTTTAGCGTCACTTCGATTTACGGTTGCTTATGATAATCTGTATTGCTATCTCTTGCCTTGACTCGTTTCCTGACCAGATAATGCAACATGTTGAGCAACAGATGTTTGAGGGAGTGGAGGAATACTCAATGCTTCGCGATCAACGTGAGAATCCGTCGCCCTTCATGGACAACATACATCGAGTGGTAAGGTTTGCATTGGTGTTTTTCAACTTGATTGATTATCGTTTTGCCCTGTCTGATATCGTGTACACTTCCTTCAGTCACCAAGTTTTTCATTGATTGATTAATATATTTCGCCCAGCTGCTGCTCACAACAACACGGCTGACAGTTCTTTCACACACTATTGCTGTGGGACTGGGGTGGAAAGTTATATTAACGGTGGAGATCCACCTGAGACTGACAGCTCAACTGGCGTCCCAGCTGTTGTCTTTATTAAAAGTTTGCATTTTGCTTACCCCGGAATACACAGTGTGTTGGCTAGTTTTAGTGAAAAAAGGTATGTTCTACTATGCTGCTTTCAGAAACGGTTGTTGGGTCTCGGTTAAGGCTATCTATGTCTATCAAGTTCAGCTAGATGGGCTTCCGGAACAGTTAGACCGTTGACCGTCCAACTTGATTTGATATAGAGCACTGGTTTGCACTGTACCGGCTGGCTAATTGGGCTGTTCCTAATGATGATCACTTCCGGACAAGTGGATCCGTCTTCCATTGCTGGCGACGGATCGTGCTCCATTCATACCGAGGCGGACGACGAGTGCACGTCCAACTAACCTATTGCTGTTGCACCTATTGTCATGCGACCCAAGCACGTAAATAATTCACTGGTTAAGTGAACCCCTGGCTGAAATGTCTACAGTTTCATTTCAGTTCTTGCCGTCTGAGTTGCTCTGGATCAAACATCTTGATGATAGCACAGGCCTCCTACTTACGTGTTGTATGTCGGCTGTAAGTCGGCTAGACAGCTTGGTTGCATGAAAAGTGCAACAAGCGTATACTTTGCTAAAAAATTCCACATGGAACTGATGGGAACGATCATACAATGTATCTCCAATGCTAGGAATAGAAAGTTTCCTTCCGACTGCATATACGAGCCCGGCTCGGAATGTGTTCGTTTAGAAGAAGAGATCAACATGTCTAACCTGAGCACAAACAAGTGTTATATGTGGTCTTCACTAGGTCATTGATCAGCCTTCTTAATCCCGCCTGATGGGCTACGTGAAATGCAACGCTTCCCAACAAAAACCCAAAACACGCCATTCCTAAAACCGAATAAGGTGTAATTAATGTGTTCCGTCTTCATCTGGTTCCTGATGCTCAATTTGGTATTGTCCTTATCTCCATCTCTCGCTTCACTTCTGGTTTCCAGCTCCAGTGTTGCGGAGTTAACGGTTACACCGATTATCGCGACAGAATCCCGGTCACTTGCTGTGACCGCCGTAAGAGTAATTGCAATGAGCTTCAGCTCACTCCTGATGAAGTCTATACAGAAGTAAGTTTTATCTGTTCTTTTTGTCCTTGATGCTGATGGATAGTCGAAAAAGAATCTTGGTACGTAATGTGAAACACTTTCATTTATTCGTGCTTGAGGATCACTATTGTTTTTTTCCGAATCATAACGCCGGTTTTATTTCTTCGCCTGAACTAAAGCATGGCGGTTTTTATCTTTCCTGGGAAAACTAGTCAGTTCAACTTCAACTACGTTTTATCTGCCTTTTACCATTCAGCTATCTCTGGTGTTCCCAGATTTATCGAGCAATGCAATGCAGTCACCCGTGGGGAAGTTAGACGTTTTTAATATGAAACGTCGTGCCGATCCATGAAATCGAATATAAATTTTGATGGTGTGCTGTACAGTAGAGTGATAAAATGGCCTTGCAGCGGAAGCGATGACTTCATTTGGGGGCTCTGGAGAGATTCACTTTGGTTAATTTAGAGCTTTGAAATTCAGTGTTTTGTTGGGAGTGTGGTGAGATTTGGGAATTTTTCCATTGAACCTTCGTCCTGTAAGTGAAACCAAACTGCTCTGAGAATCACCGTACATCCTCATCCTTATTGGAGATCATCAGCACTGCAGCTAAAAAACTCGGGCTTTCGAACTTGCTGCTTGAGTCTCTTATTATGATGTATTACGCAAGCATGTTGACGTAATTTGCAGCCTAATACCTATCCAAGACCCTTTTTTCTTTCTGAGCTGTTTTGCTTGTTATGTTCGAGTTCACACAGTAGACTGTCGTGTAGGTTATTTTACAGCACAACCCCCAGTACTCTGTCGTCAATCTCACACCCGGTTGATGATGTACAAGTGTACAGGTTGTTCGCTTTTTGCAAAGGCTTTTGCCACTCAGTGTTCGCCAGAACACGAGATTTTTCAGGTTTTAAATTCCGCTACTTTTTGTGGTTTGCTTTTGTTAGTTATCCAATTCATATTGATAATTGATCCCCATATAGCCCATATGGCCCAAGTGGTTAGATCGCGAATTTACTGACCGTAAGGTCCGTGGTTCGAATCCGACCTCCGCCTCTCGACTTCCCCTGTCTATGCTTGGGCAACCTGGCAGTATCCCAGCCCTCGTGCTTCCTTCGGGTGGCATGGCAGCTAAGCACCGGAAGGGTGCTACCGCTGAACGCCTTCTTTCTTTTTTCCCATATAGCAACATGCTGTTGTGTGATCTGCTGCACAACTTTTTGTCAATGATTTGCACAGCGTCCTGAAGTCGTATCTGCCACCCAGTTACGGGTTTCCATTGATTTGATTATTCATACTCCTGGTTCCTTTTTTCCAAGTTATGGCTATATAGCTCTTTTCTGTTTTCTCCCGTCCCCTTCCTTCAGGGCTGTAAGGAAAAGTACAAGCGATTCTTCAAGGACAAGTTGATAGTTTTTTTCCTCATAGCGGTGTCAATTGCCGCCTTCGAGGTACGTTTTTCCGTCGATAGATAATGCCGCTACCGGGGGGCCTTTCGATTGATTTTCATCCACTGCTTCACTTTCTCGTAGGCTGTTTGACTGTTCGTTTTCAGCTTTGTCCAGTGATGAAAATTATTAATAAGCGAGCAATAAACTTGAATCCCTTGAGAAACCAATGTTCACCTAGCGGTCAGCTGTCGCGCTCATTTATTCGGTACAGTCCAACACCCGGTTGCTCATAAAATGCACAGTCTGTGTTCGAAATTGGATGAAACTAGCCCAACTTGTAGACGTCCTGGTGTTTTTTTGTCAGAATGGTCAGTTTGAACCTACCTTGCAGACAGTCTCCGTACTAACCGGTGTGAAGGCGAACCTATTGTTTTAGGTCAGAGCATTAGTAGGCGCGTTTTATCTGGCATAAACGCTTATAGAGGCGTGAAGGGGCGTTCGGGACAGAACCGGCCATTCTTGACTACTAAGCAGTATAAAAATCCCTAAGTGCCATATGAAGCCGCCAACTGATCGCCATGTTTCAAGCCCAACGATGTACAGCTGGCAACACGAGGTTCACGTTAACCATACCGTAACACTTGGCTCGCCACATCAAAAATCGAAAAGCCCCCTTTGACTGAACTCCCCGAGAAGTAGCCACTTTCCGAATTAGCATGCTACTGACGTTATTGTGAATGTTCCCTGGGATTGGCTTTACCGTCATTCCACAGGAGTATGATTAGACACCAGCATACCAGTACAAAAGGCCACTTCACCAGTCATCGAGCTTGTAAAGCAAGCGGGACAAGGTTGGAAGAGAACGCGATTTGACTAGTTAAGGTGCAATCCGCTCTATTTTGAGAGTTGATCCCTTTCCGTTCTTTGTGTCCCGAAATTGTCGGATCACGTGGGATGTTTGTCAGATAACGACTGTTGGACAGGTGACGAGATTCTATGTTGGAGCGTGCCCTTCATTGAAAATGGGTTGCCTGAGCTTCTCGTTTTGTGTGACCTTCGAGTCATCACCGCGGCAACGCCAAGGAAGTGAGTATAGTCTTTATACCACAGACTACTTAGACACCAGATAGGGGCCATTTTGAGTTGATTAAAACTCTTACGTCCTCGGAATAGAAAATATGAAACACGATTCACCAAGACACACAAAAGCGCTATCTTTACTAGCTCATTTGGACGTCTTTCTAAGTGGGCAGGGGCCCCACTTGTACCCAGTTTGCGTGCCGGCTAAGCCTTCGGTCCCATACCATACGGGTGTATTTCCAGACAAATTATGTCAACAAACTAATAACCACAATTATGCTGCCCTAACTTTACTAGAATTCCCATGTATCGTCATCTTACACATGGACCATAGAGCCAAACATGGCTAATGATCAACAGAATAACGACACCATGTTTCACTATTGAGGGGAATGTTGGCAACGTAGATCGTTGACTGGCTTGCTGAGATAAACAATTAAATCACTTATCTCAGCCGACGAACCAGCTAGTATCACCTATCCCTCACATGCTTCCTCTTTGAAAACCGCACAAAGTTACTTAAACGGTAGCTAAACTGTGCGTAGTATCAAGCTCCTGGTTTGTATCGTTGCCCTCCTGTTTAAAAACGGGCTGGTCAGTTGTGCTCAAAGTTTGTTTAAGGAATATCAGATGTCAACACCGTGGTATTTCATCGTTGCACTGTGTCCCTCTTGTACTGAAGACTCTGACAAACGCATACGTATTTGCTGTTGGTAATATGTTCTGTTCCTTCTGGTTCATTACACTGGTATTTTTCAACCTTTTCACTCGTCACTCCAAGCTTTAATTAGATGGAACTCCGCCACCTAAGGAGAATTTCTGAACGATCGAATGACAAACAGTAAGCACCACTGACGGATGAAAGTGAAGATGATAAATGTCCGTAATAATGATCTGTAGCCTATCACTGAGTCAATTGAAGCGATGATTCCGTTGTCATCCAGTTGTGACTCCTTCCTTGCGACATGCATAAAAACTGAGATAACAAGACCAAAGGCCTTGTAGTGAACGCTTACTATATGATTTATTTGATCTGACAAAATGGGATTCTGGTACATCTCGAGGTTCAACATTTACACGGGTAGTGCTGGTCACCTACGGGTGACAACCCCATCAGGTTTGCTGAAGACTTTGGTCCGCTTCTCTGACACAAGCAGTTTACAAAACGGCATTTTATTTGCTGCTGTTGTGGACAACCTTTGATTAATAGCACACTGAATGGCCGTATGCCACCTCACGGTTGCAATGTTGTTTGTCAAGAACGGTTAGCAGCAATTTAAGCAACCCATTTCGACATACTCTGCGCCTCAGTCAAATGAACACACAACGGCAGTAAGCAACGGCATCAAATGTACCACACTTAAATGCCGTCGAACCTAAAATAACCTCACCGGGATACTGCGCACATCCAAATTCAGTATTTATACGAGGAAACTAGGTGTTTTGTGTACCGGTTCCGAAGGGCATAAGAAGTCATCGCCTCATCACTGTTTGTCGACACGTATTTGACCTGGTACAACCGGTATGCTTTGAACCAGCCGTTGTCATCCTTCCTAACACTTTGCGGTTGGTGTACGTTTTCTGCTCGAACTGTAGGAGTTTGCTATTTTACATGAGCGGTGGATGGAAAATGCATAGTTTTACTCCCGATACTTGAATTTTAGCGCGCAGAAAACGGTCACTGTTCTGATTAACACAGCGCTCGTACCGTTGAGCTTTTACCACTGAGCACAGCCATACTGTACAGATGCTGTGCGGTCTAAAGGAACGTATCGTTCTTTCGAAATGAGCTTGTTGAAAATTCGTAAACTGGATCATCATCATCATCAAAGACAGCAACATCAGTGTTGGCACTGATGCTTGACTGCCGTGGTGACATCTGTGAAGGTTGAAACCGGCAATGAACCGTTCAGAATTTTCACTGACTTTACGAGTAGTATTGAAAAGACACACTGCATGTGTTTTTGGTGAACGCCAAATAACAATGGACTATTTTATCCGCAACTGCGCAGTGGATACCGTCGCCAGCTTGGCGAATTCCGACTCCGAGATCACTTGGACAGTGAAACTAGATAGACACCACACTGGGATAGGGCAAATATTAGTCCGAAATCCAGCGGCGAAATCGCACTTCACTTTGTAACACACCCCAATCCTTGTGTGATTGAATCATATCAATTCAATTATGTAACTTTAGGAAGCACTTGGGATAACGGAGGTGATATTTTGATTTCGGTGGTTGCACCGGGTGAACGGTATCTTCGAGTGACGCGCAATACCAGGACCTCAGGGGAGGCAAAACAAAGTCGGAGCTGGGTTTCTGTACGGTACTATTAATGTAAGACAAATTTGATATTATACAAACCTCGACAGTAGGTACTCGTCCAAAGCGAATGGTCCACTTGGACTACAAAAGTACAAACCAAAGGAGCAAACAGGCTCCCACGTGAGACAGTCACAAGTGTACAAATTCGCCCACAAATGGCCGGATGACCTCAAGGCCAAATGAGTGAAGTGGTAAGGACAAACAAACGCCAGTTCACATACACGCACTAAACACAAAAGTGGGGCGGGGGTTACAAATGGGGACAGAATAAACGTGGAGAATTTCAATGTCAACGTAATGAACGATACAGTGGTCGTGGCGCTGCTGGGCTGACTGCCTGTCGTCAGGCTGCATCATATTACCGGTTTATCTATATACTTGAGTTCATTTATGAATATTGGTTGTGAGTTCTACTTTTACCTCAACAACACTAAAAGCCGACGGTGTTTGTTCTTCTGATGACATGACAATCTTTTTTTCAGATCTTCTGTCTGCTCTTTTCTATGGTATTGTGCTGTGCCATACGACAATACCATTCGGACTATTACGGCGTGGACTATGCCATAGCAACTTAAGTGACCCGTAGTTGCCTGCACACCAACTACTGCTTCGTTTTGATTCAACCCGCGTTGGAGATCCCCTGTTCCGACGACAAATCTGGACATTTTTCACAAGTTTTGATTTCCCCCATTTGCCCAACCGTACCGGTTGATTTCTTTCTTACCACTACTACAACTGTTTCTGCCACCGCACAACTAACCATGTTGCCGCGCTCGTACTGGACACGAACTCGGTGGTTACTTGTGTTTTAGGTCTCCCCACCCATGTGCAATCGTAAATGTCTACGCAATCATTAACGCCAACGACGCTGCCAGGCGTCCATAAACTGATCATGTCGGTTTAATTCATCCGCGCTTTTCTAGTCCAACAGTTTTATCATCTTTTTATTCTCTGTAATCTATTTGGCCATTTCGTCCACTGCATTTCCCCCGTCTAACGCACAATGTTTTGCCTTTTTTTGTTGATTTGCGTTTCTGATCGTCCTTTACTTCTAACCAAAATTAACTGACCGCTTTAGACACCTGCAGTCTTCCACAACAACAGCTAAGATGAATTAGTTATTAGGGAACAAACTGTACAGCCCAATCTCCAATCGATCGGCAGAAACGTCTGTTTTTTTCTAGGTAGTTTCGTTTTAGCTTGAATTCCCAAAAGGCGGATCGAACCCAATTCCCTACGCCAGTAGCTTTCATTGTGATCAGTCGCTGTAATTATTCACCCGCTTTCTAACATCTCGTCTCTGTGAACTTATTTAGGACTTGCTTATTCCTACGTCCTACTGTTTTTCTTCAGTTCTCCTGGTGCACTTTATATTGTCTTTTATGTTCCATACCATTGGTAGCGGTCAGCCTTCCAGTGTTCGCATTGCTTTTGCTTTCAAGCATAATCTTTTCATTGATAATAATTCCATAAATCCTATAATATTTCCGTCTAAGGTTGTTTGTTTTTACAGTTCGGGCAACCAAAATCACTTTTTTACTTCATAATCCAGTCTTGCCTCTCCGGAAGAAATTTCCTTGATGAAGTGAAACGTCTTCAAGGAGTTTCACCCTGGATTATTTTCCGTACGCATCGTTACCCCAGCTATCTGAGATAGCCACAGAATAGCAAGCATCTTTGTTTAGCGTGCTTGTTGCATGACGAACAGCCCATCCACCATTGGCTCACCTGTTTTTGTCCGAGACCTCTAGGAAGCAGGCTATAAGTTTCGAATTCCCATCTGATATAGACTTGCTGCATCGTGGCAGGCGGGTGACAGTATCATGAGGCATCAGGATAGACGAACTTGATGGTCTGACCACTAGAATCGTTATGAACGGAGACTTGAGTATAAGAGGAAAATCTAGTGGTACCTCGATAAACTGCTCAATAAACGTTTGCTTTGCTACCGGATGAATTTTAGGGTTAAGAGGGTGCCCTTTGACTTCCCCTATTTCTACGTGATAAATTCAATCGGAACTAAATTTGCATTGGTTTGTTTTTTTTTTAGAACGACTAACTGTATGTGCAATATGGACCTGTCAATCTGAGAAATATACTTTCAGATAAGCTTTCGACTGCAGGCAGCCGGAAGGCCCTTTTACTTCTGTGCGATCTTAATGACAAGCCACGAAAACGGCATTTTCTTCGATCTCACTCATTAGGTTTTCATACGAAAAGCCTGTCTTTTTGATACTGTAACCTGGTGCTAGGTAATAGGCGTTTATGGCGTCACAGCTTCGTTTTCGTGATATTTTGCAAGCGTTTTCCACCAAAGTCATGAAGAAATTTTACTCGATGGGCCAGTGCGTTACCGGCTCGTTTACACTAATGTGAACGGCCTTTGATGTCTGATTAATCCTGTCAATCAACTGGCTTATCAGTTCCCTGCCATGGATAGCTTGCCTGATGTCAGTGAGCGCTTGACCCTTGCTAGCTTTCTTTGGCGTCGATAAGCCAATTCTTATTGTTGCTTTATTCTTCGGACAATTTGTAGTTTCCTGAACAACCCCAATGGGCAAATAAGCTCCAGTCAATAGCGTATGTTAGGTTATTTTGGCTACTTACGTGTGGTTGTTTACGATTTTCTAGTGTGATTGTTCTTGCCTCCCCCCACTTGTTAACTTTGAAAGCTAGAATAAGAGCATATTTGGTAGCCGATTTTTCCCACGAAAGCCCGTCGATAACCAACTTTCAACACGGAAATGTTTTAACGTCATATTATCCTCGCTGATTTAAATACAGGACTATGTAAGCCATAATCTGCCGCGTTCCCTCCTGGTTGGTATAGATGAGGGCGCGTTTAAAATTACTGCTCTATAAATGCGGATTTTGTTGCAACCTACTGTTGGGTGCTTCTGCACTCTTAATTTCTGTTGAAAACAGTGCTAGTATGGAATAATGGCATGAATACGCCAATTTATTCAAACAAATCACGACTTCAGAGGGGAAGATTAAGAATCGGTTCCATTTTACATATTAACCTTGTACGACTTCAGTCGGTCAGCATCGAATGGACTGGTTGTCAGCAAATGGGTTCAGGCCGTGCATTTGTGTGGTTTTCAGATTGCGGTCGACCAGTTGTTTATCCAAACCGGCCAGATATCGACCGATAACAGTGGATATAAATTATCCGCACCATTGATGAGTGCATGGTTAATCGTGTGGCTAACTTTCGGCCATAGGAAAGATGTCCATACATGTTATGGACGGTCATGTGCCACACAGAACGATGCAACGGAAAATAAGACAGTTGAGTACAATCCACCTTTTTCGCTCATAGGGTTTCTTTACTTTGTATATTTTTCAAAGTAATAAGTTAGAAGCTTTTTCTATTCGCTGCTAATCATAGAGCGACTTCCGGGCGAAAACGTTTTTTCCTAAACAGCCGTTTAGAGCTTGAGTAGCAAGGCGTATGTTTGGAATATGACACAGTGATGTAGTTAGCCATGAGTGTGTGTGTGACCAACTCTATTTCACGGCGTCGTTCGAAATCAAACTGTCTAAGCCACAGCATATTTTTCCAAGGGTCTGGTTAGTCACCTCTGCAGATGCTGTACACTGTTACCTTAGCTAAATGGCAGTGGAAATTCGATTCCGATTTGTGCAGAAGTCCACCGAGTTACATTGATGGTAACAGGCAATAGGCTTACGTGGAACAAAACTTCGCCCCACTGTTATGGACTGATTAGTGCTGTTGCCGTGAAGGAGAGTGGTAAAGTTTATTTGGGTACCGCAATCGAAGGGTTGAGGTGAGGATCGGTGGTTATCTTAGAATATTTCACCCAGTGCCGCCGTCACTCATTACTGGGCTTCAATGAGAGCACTGCGTTTGTTCATAGTTACTTGCGACACAAACGAATTACGGCACACTGGTGGATAAATGTTCTTTCGAAAATTGACTTTTTGTTTCAGGAGTCATTCTAGAATGTGTATCTGATTTACGCAACCTAATTTACTACGGCTACCGATAGCTTTCACGTCGTCTTGTCACCTACTTTGGGGATGTCATCAAAGAGACTTAATCACAGCAATCAAGATGGAATACATAATCGTATTCAAACTTCTCAGGTTTCTAAATAAAACTAACATTTCGGGGACTTGTCGATCTACTCCTGGCTAACTTATATTCAGATTTTTCTGGTAGGCCTCACTGCGAATTTGAAATCCTCTATTTGTTTCCGATCTGCTTTGTGGAAAGTGTCCGTTGATGTGCCTAGAGTTACGGAACAAGGAATAAAGATTAAACATCAAGAGGGGTCGTTGCTGCCATCGTCGACCGACGAATTGCGTTATTACTATATCACCAACTACCCAAACAAGAGAGTGCATGATAACTAACTATACGGAAGTTGTTTGTGTCCATAAGGGTTGAAATTGAGTTCCTAAACGATAGCTGGACTGAAAGCGACTTCTTTAATTTGTAATTTTGCTTCGAAATTTATACAGCGAAAAATCATGGTGCACCAGTCCAGGGATGTCAATCTAGTTGACGACAATATCCCGATGCCTAGCTGGCGCAAATGAAAGAAACTGGAAGCTGTCAAGTGGGCACTGACAACTGCAACGACAAGAGCCTGACTTTCATCACACGGGCTGAACCCTAGGCTTTCTGAGCCAAGCGATATTACTCGAAGTTTTCGTTCGACACTTCTGGCTGTGTGAAACTTATTGTGGCTGTTTGCTTGTCAGATTATCGTCTCGGACTTAAGCTGAGTCTAAACCGGGTATTTCAATGAAGTTCGGCAAATAGGGATTGTTTTTTAACCTAATCATTGAGCAACGATAACCACTAACTAGAAACTAACGGAATAAATGCCAGCGAGAAGCGAAAAGTTACATGTTGGTTTACAAAGAAGCCCTAGTGTCAGTGGTTACATAGTCGAATACATCCTTTACGGTTTGAGTTGGTTGTTACCCTCCCCAAAAAATTCATTCACATATGCATGTCCGAATTTCGCGGCCAGGTTGAGGTCAAATCAGCAAATTCAAACAGGTTGGTTTGTATCAAATTCGAGCAATAAGCTGGTTTACAATTCAAGACACTGAAAACACCTTGTAGACTTCTCATATTCATTCCAGTCCAAGATCACGTCCAAAATATTTACGTAGCTTTAATCTCGAGTATTCCGAACTTGAGGCGCGATTATCAATATTTTTCGGCACATTTATATTTATCTAGGACATAGACGCACTTTGTACAGGCTAGTTTAACTAAAATGAACAAAACTGTCCTAATCCGTAGTGTATTTCAAAATCCAGTTAGTTACCGTCGTTAAACATCATGTCTTAACCTAACATCATGTCGTTAATCATGTCTTTTACCATTTCAAACCCCAATCGAAATATTGGAGCTGTAAAAACTGTCGTCGAAAATGTTCTGCAAGCAAACAAAACTCGACTGGTCCCACTATCAACTGATACTCATTTCAATTCGTTTTCTCAGATTATAAAACGTGGACGGAGCTGCTACATTTTCGCTCACTAAGGATAACGAGAATATGGATATGAGAGTCACGTTTTGGAGGCGTTGGTGTTAATCAGTTCATTGATGTTGAATAATTTATTTTGTCCGTTATGGCACGGGGTGAGGGATACGCAATGAGAACGATAGCTTTGATGCAAGGACGTGATACGACCATAACCACCAGAGTCAATAATCATTAGTTTCTTCAACCCGCAATTCCCATTCGATCGGACGCCAGTTACGAATACAACTGGATTGATTAATAGGAGCCTGCGTGCTTCGTTGCTAAGTCGGCCCGGATCGTCTCCATCCGATGCAAGACTAGGTGGGGAGAAATCTATAGGGCAAACTCTCCTATGGCATCAGCTAACCAGCGTTTTACATAGGGTGTGATGAGTTGTTCTATAGAGGGAGAGTAGACGTTCCCCGGTGTTCAAAGACATTCCGCGAGCAGCGAACAGTTTGGTCCGCGGTATTGTACTATCTATCCTTGATAGTCAAGCCGATTTTGCTATTGGCGCCACAACTCTCGGTGATTGGCGTACAATGTCATGGCCTCTCCTCGTTGCGAAGTGATTCATTCAGTTCGCTTGGTCTTATGCGCTTCCCGAACTGCAAGAACTTGACTGTCGCAGTGTTTTTTCGCCTTCAAGCATGAGGTTTGGGTTTGATGTCGCCTAATCATTTGCTTATCACTCACCAATGCCGCATTCCTGACACCATTTTCTGTTACTTTTTGTTTCCTGTGTGCAACGCCATCGGTTTCCCTATTTTGGCGGTTCCTGAGCAGAATTGTCGCAAGTTTATAGATACGATGCAACGTGCTTTAGTGAGAACTGGAATGACGCTTAACTAAAAATGAAGATTCGATATCTGAATTTAGCGAGACGAAACTCAATAAAATATCCACTGCATATCTTCTTTAGTATGGTCACGTGACCGTGCATATAAGGTCTATTTATATTTAAGATGAGTCCCCTCTCACAAATAACGTAAGTTTCAATAGGGTATT